TTGATTTACTCTCTGCCTCCTCTGTCTCCGCCCCTCAGTGAGTAGAGGAGTGAGCTGAAGATCCTCAGGTTCAACTCAAACCTAAAAGCAGACTGTTCTTCCCGGTCAGGGTCACTGAAAAAGCAGGCCCTGCCATTCTGTGTCTTGGGATAGGACTCCCTCTCTGCCGTTCCAGCAGAGGAGAAACCAGTTCTGCCAGTTTGCAGCAGAAATCGGCTATCCTGTGCTCTGATTGGCTGGAGTTTACAACATCACAAACCCACCCACTTGTGCAGCTCGTCCAAAATACATGTTTCTTTTTCTAAACTGGGGAAGTGTTATTGAAGGGCCAAACAAGGGTTTCAACCATTCTGGCTTTTAAGACCAACACCCTCCCCCCCCCACAAATAGTCCAGCTAACATTCCAACAAAGAGGCAAGGCCAAAGGCTAGAAATGGCATTTGAGTTGTTGATAAGTATGCCTGATTTACACAAAGGAAAGGAGAAGAAGCCCGATTCACAGCATGCATTGAAACTGAGTTTGGATTTAATGGGATGAAAATCAAGATGTAGCTCAAATGAAGGATTTTTTTAAAGTCTCATTGGACTGGAGTTCTTGCTCTTTCTCTCCCCATGACTTCTCATGTTTACTCATTCTGTCCCTGAACCGATGTTTCCCTCCAGTTCTCTTTTTCAGCTTGCAGATTTCAACAGCTTCTCTTCAGTCTTTGCTAGGAATGCTTGGAGTTGCTTGCCTCTTTTTTTTTAAAAAAAAAAAACATAATTAATAAAGAATCTAAAGGTCACTGCAAGGAAGTGGCAACTCCACCAGAAAACAATGTGTACTCTCTAAATTTGAACCAAGCCATTTCCGTTCTTTGATTTAAGTTTAGTTGCTTCCTGTGGTTTCACGTCCTCCCCTACAGTTGAATCTCTGGACGGGCTCCAGTATAAATTGCACTCTTCCAATGAAATTAGAGACTAGCAATAAAGGGATTGGCTAGTAAACAGCATTTAAACCAAATATTATGTGGTGTTTGGTGTTTGGATGAAAAAATACTCTGAATATTTTAAAGGATTTTGTGTCCTCTGCTCTGATTTGCAGCTCAGCCATTATGCTCCCTTTTTGCAAAACAGTCAGAGGACCAATGTTCAGCCTAAAGAATATGCTTTTAAGGAATTTATATTTGGCTTTTTTTTTTAACTGGGAAGAGAAAATGTTTTGCCTATGTTTTCAGTTAAAAAATAAATTATGTCCCCTTCCCCCAATTCAGCAACCTGTGGCCTTCCAGAAGTTCTTGGACATCGGCTCCCATCTTCTACCTTCACCATTAGCTGGGGCAGTTGGGTGGGGCTGATGAGAGTTGGACCATAACCACAGTTTCTCCTATCATGGTTTAGCATTGCGAGAGCATGTTGCAGCACATATTAGGGCTGCACACTGCATTTCCTCTGATGCAAGCATAGCAAAGAACTTGGAATTTTCCACTGTAGATTAATCACATCTGAATGTACTTTCCAAACTATAAACTCTGAATATTCAGAGATGGGGTATTAAGCCAATTTCATAAGCAGAGGATTTAAAAATACATAGTTAATGTTAGTGAGAGTTTAGTTTATGTACATTATTAATCTGTGGCTTATTCTAAAAAGAGACTTTCCAGTCTGGTCTTGGCCATGCTCTGGAGTAAAGAGGGAAAGAGAGCCCAAAGCTTGGTATGATTGAACATCACACTATGGGTTCATTACTAGGTTATGCAAGTAATTCTTGACTTTATGACCACATTTAGGACTGGAATGTCCATTGCTAAACAATATGGTCATTAAGTGAGTCATACATTTATGAACTTTTTTTTGCCACAATTATTAAGTGAACTGTCTTGGCAAATCATAGGGTCAATCTGGTTTCACCCATTAATTTTTGCTTGCTGGAAGACACATTGACTTTGCTTGTTGGAAGTTTGTCAGAAGAAATTAGAAAGTCACAAATTGTGGTGGAATGTAGTCTGGATTCCCAGGAGGGAGGAGCTGCATTCCAGAGGAGCAAGAAACAGCAAAGTTAAGATAGTTCAGTTGTGAGGCAGAGGGTCAAGATATCTCCTCCATAGGAGTTCTCAAAGTGTATCTTCAGTGAAGCAAGTACTTGCTTTAGTTTGGCTAAATTTCTGTCTGTAGTCCAGCCTTCACCATGAAAGCTGTCTGGATGGCTTTGGGCCAGTCACTCACTTTCAGGCCAACCTATCTCACAGTTGTTATTGTGGGGAAAATAGGAGGAGGAAGGTATCGTGCATATGTTCATCAGCTTGAGTTATTTATAAAAATAATAAAGGCAGGATACAAATAAAACAAACAAACAAATTAAATGATACAGTAAAGGGAACTACTAAGAAGAAACTCAATGTATTTCTTGGTAAGAGCCATGGCGGTGCAATGGTTAGGGCTGGAAATTACTGAAGGTCTAAAGTTACATGCAAACATAGTCACCATGTACTATGCAATGATTGGCAGATAAGAAGTTGAGGTAAAGGGTGGGGAAGGAATCATTCCAGTCCTGCCACTCCAGATATCGGTACCATTCTAATTCCAAAGTATATATGAGGCATTCTAGTATAAAAACTGATTTAGAAAATGGCTATTCTTCTGGTTTATTGATTGAGTGAATGAATTATTTCCAGCCTATCCTAGAGCAGTAAAATTTGAGCTTGGCACAAACTTCTTTAAAAAAATCAAACCAGTCATTATCTATAATCCATTCAGTCTTCATCAAAGTGGAGAGCGATGACATGTGGACATTATAAAGTTGAAGGCCATGAAATCCAAAGAGTTTGGGAGAGACTTAGAGTTGGCTTAATGTCAGAATCAACACTGAAGCCAAATGGATCTGTCTGGCGAGCTGGTTCAAAAACCCAGAACTCCCATTTGAAGATGGCTCTCCTGTATGTTTTAGCACAACTGTCTCCTGATAGTAGGATGCAGAGAGGTTTTCCTGGAAGATTTTAATACCCTGGCCTTGTTATTTTTGGATATATAAAAAGGAGCATGGAGACCAGGTCAGGTAGAATAATTATTTCCCTCTTCTCAGCCGGAGTCTTGCCTTGCTTGGAATTGAATGTCTAATACTCGGCATCGTAGTCTAAAAATGGGATCACTGAACTGGAATTGATTGGGGGAAGCTATCAAGATTTCACTATCAGATTCTACTATTAGGAGATTTTCAGGGTTATCATAGGGACTTATTCTCTGTTTCCTCAGAGGGCAGGAACTGGAACCCAGGAGTTAAAATCTCAGGGAATGAGATTCAGGTTAGATATGAAGAAGAACTGCCTGACAGTAGGAGTTTTTATTTTTAACCAGTGGAATAAATAGCCTCATGAAATGGCATGTTTCCTTTCACCAGAAGATTTCAAATTGAAACCGGATAGCTACCTATCCAAAATGCTTTAGCAGACCCTGTCTTGAGCAGGAGAATGGAGTAGAGGACAGCTGAGAGGATTCCAGTTCTTAAACTCTATAAAATCAGTCATTTAGAATGAATTGGCATTTGGAGGGATAAAACCGAGGCTTGAGAACCCATCTTGGATGCTGTTGATGTAAAAATTGAGACTCTCCTTCTCCGTGTTTTCCATGTCTTCTAGAATCAGAGCATCTGTACCTTGATTTATGTGGGGGACCTTTCTCAAATTGGTGCCCTCAAGATGTGCAGTGATTACACGCTCCAATCTTACATGATCGCTATCTGGAAATTCTGAGAAGTATAATCTTGACATATCTGGAGGGCATCCAGTTGACTAGCATACATTCGTGGCCAACCTGTTTTTTTAACCTGTGAATGAGTTAAGAGTGATGAGCGATGGCATTACTATTCCCCTCTTCCGTTCACAGATATTTCTGAATAAGCTGGCAGCGCTTGTTTTTGGCTGGATTTTAGGCGATATTTATGTATGCATTTGAACATTTCCTCTTAATTTATCATCTTTTACTTTTGGACCTTCAGAAACTGGGTACGGATTCAACAAATGAGTCATCATAACTAGTCTGCTTATTTAGAGACTAGAAAACTAAGGCTGACAGATGGCACTGTGGGCAGCAGGCCCAGAATTTCTATGGCAAGAATCAGTGTCATTAACTCAATAATACAGTTCCATTTAAGACTCTTGATTCCAATTCTGCGCTCCAGGTTCATAGGACAAACTAATCCTATCCCACTCATTTTATTACACTCTGCAGAAAACTATTGGCAATGTCTGTCCACCTCTTTTATTTCAACTAATCCCTAAAGAACATGTAGCTTTCCATTTAAGTTCCCTCTTCTGCTAGGTCTGTGATGGTGAACCTATGGCATGCATGCCACAGGTGGCACAGAGAGCCATTTGTGCAGGCACGCGAGCCCCAGCCAAACTTACCTGCACTGCGCATGTTCGTGCCTCGTAGCTGATTTTTGGCCCGTTTGAGCCCCTTTTTGGCCTCCCACAGGCTCAAGGGAAGCCTCTGCAGCCTTTGTTCCCAAGAACCTGGGTGTCTGCATTAGACTGGCTATCTTATGCCATACTAGTTATTCTGTCTTTTTTTCTTCTTAACAACAATAGGTATGCTTTTTTTCCTCCTTTCCCCCAATATTAAAAATCCCATGGAGGTGGGCTTGCAGTTCAGGTTTTTTGGGATGTCACCATAGTGTAGAGCAGGGCTGTTAAACTTATGGCCCAGGAGCCAGATGAGTCATGCGCTGGCCATGCCCATGCCTGGTTTAGCGAAGGGGGAAAAAACCCTGCGATACCTGACGATGCCGTGATGATGCGAGTTTGACACCCCTGGTGTAGAGCCATCCCAACTCCACTTGCACAACCACACTGTTACTTCTCGGTCTATGGGACGGACAACACTCCAAAGAGTTATTAACCTGTAAACTGCCAAGATTGACCCTGGGACAACCCTGGCAGAGGAACAGCTCAGTTCTTTGTTGGATCTCTGACAGCAATGGATAATATCTCAGCCTCTTTTCTCTTTATTCTCCTTTTTTTCAGGACACTTAAAAGCAGCCTGAAAAAGAGAAATGGAGCCTCGAATGCCTCACAACATGACTGTGGCCCCCAGTTCTACCATGGTACAGCCTCTTCTGGAGAGCCGGATCCCTTATGGCAGATTGCAACATCCCTTGACTATCCTGCCTATCGACCAGATGAAGACCACACATATGGAGAACGACTACATTGACAATCCCACGCTGGCTCAACTGGTTGCTCAGAAGCCTCCCCGGAGCCACCACGAGCCCACCCTTCCGCCCCGGTGTGAACAAGATGTCACCCATCCATGGATCTCCTTCAGTGGGCGGCCCAGCTCCATCAGCAGCAGCAGCAGCACATCCTCAGATCAAAGGCTTTTGGACCACATGGTCCCGGCTCCCGTGGCTGACCAGTCCTCCTCCCCAAGAGCAGTTCGGCTTCAGCCCAAGGCGGTTCACTGCAAGCCCTTGGATCTGAAAGGACTCCCCTCTCTGAAACCGGACAAGCACTTTTTGCTGTGTGAAGCCTGTGGAAAATGCAAGTGTAAGGAATGTGCCCTGCCTAGGACTCTGCCGTCGTGTTGGGTGTGCAATCAGGAGTGTCTGTGCTCAGCCCAGAACCTGGTCAATTACTCCACCTGCATGTGCTTGGTGAAGGGCATATTCTACCACTGCACCAACGAGGATGACGAGGGCTCCTGCGCAGACCACCCCTGCTCTTGCTCCCACTCGAACTGCTGTGCCCGTTGGTCCTTCATGAGCGCCCTCTCCTTGGTTTTCCCTTGCTTGCTGTGCTACCTGCCAGCCACCGGCTGCGTGAAGCTATCACAGCGATGCTATGACCGAGTGAGTCGGCCTGGATGCCGGTGCAAAAACACAAACAGCGTGATTTGTAAAGCGTCCCCGGATGGGAAGGCTGACAGCAGACTAGAGAAAACTTTTTGACTGCTGGGGAGATGTTGGGAAGTGCAGGATGGGAAAAGAAAACACGAAGGGTGTTTTGTCACCTATGTCAAAGTATAACATATGTCAGCCTTTTGCAGGGAGGGAAGAAGGAAAGGAAGGGAAGGGAAGGGAAGGAAGGAAGGAAGGAAGGAAGGAAGGAAGGAAGGAAGGAAGGAAATGGATATGGATATTTTGCAGTGCAAGGGCCAAAACAGAAAAACATAGAGCAATTTAAAGACATCTCCTCTCCTAGTCCTTAGTCCTGGCAGTTTGATCCATCTAGAGATTGCAAGAATAATCCAGAAGTAGGCTTGGCATGTACATCAGCAGATGGAAGCAGGACTTCAGTTCAGGGCCGCCATCCAATTCACATATTTATAGGTTATGGGCAGTAAGGGCTAAGTTTCCCTCAAGGCTTTAACATGAATGTTCCTTACCGCCTGGTTTTGTTGTTGTCATTGTTGTGTCTGTACGTTGTGAGAGTACTCCTTTTAAAAAAATAATCTTTCTGAATATGTAGAAATCAGTAGCTCTTCTCAGGTATTAAGCTTATAACAGAGTATTCAAACTTGAATAGAGGGTTCAGGACTGACCAGATGGGTAGATTCAAGGACAGGGCATTCTGCACCCTCCCTGTAGAGGTTTAAATACCCTGGGTGAGCTTAACACCTGGATTAGCGCTACCTGTAACTCATGTTGATTCTACTGCCATTAAGGCAGGGATCCCCAACCTTTTCGACGCCGCGGCCCGGTTCCGGTGTCAGCTGGGCGCCGCCATCTTTTTTTGACGAAAAATCACTT